GTTGCAAGGTGACAATTTCGTAATTAGTGAGAAGTCTCGTGGCGTTTATAAATGTTCAGATCTGACGATTGTAAATCTAATCCAAGGGTTGATAACTGGTCTTACGGGTCTCACGAAAAATCATTGGTCTCACATGATCCCAAGTCTATATATATATATTATACCACAAGGAAGGAACTCAATCTAATCATGTTATTGAATCTTGGTGCCAGAGTCTTGGACTATTTTTGCACACATTCATGCATTTCTTTACACATTTATCATGCTTACAACTTTTATACATTGTTTGATAATAAGGGAAACAAAATTGAATTGAAACCCATCATGTATTTGTAACCTTATTTATGCTTATGCAACTTTATTGGAAATTTGTGCAACAAGATTTAAAAGTCTTATTTAGGGAACCAATTAAAACCCCTTTCTCGATGTCGTAAAGATGGCCAAAAACTATACCTATGACGGCTTAGGTCCAAATTGGTCCAGGTCCGGGATTTACCTTTTGTGATGGAGCCTATGGTAACTAGTCCTGGTCCCGACCAAAAACACCTGGACCGTTCTCCGTGTATATAGCCCGATCTCTAGAACGGGTCATGGGTCGGTCCATATCGGTCCTATTTTTTTTTTCCTAAAAATTTTATTTGAATTTTTTTGGACAATATCTTATTAAGATACACTTTAAAATCTCTAATTGGGTTACTTAGCTACACTTTAATTCTTTTTACACAAAAACGTTATGCATATTTTTTAATTACGATTTTGAAATTTAGTCCTAGAACACTTAAAAAAACTTGAACAACTTCAAAAAGAACTTGAACATTTTGGTAAAAAAAAAACGTAGAAAATCTTGAAAAACTTGATATATGATTTATAAAAACTTAATTAAAAATCGGGCCTATAACCGAACTTTGTTCCGGGCCGAATTTGGTTGGTTACCACCCAGGAACACAAGCTTTTATATATAAGTCCAACAAACCCACTTCTAGAGAAGGCCCAACCCAATTTGAGGTCTTGTGGCATTGTGTCCACGGAGGATAGGGGTGTTTGAGGTTTACTTTCCGAACCGAAAACCGAGCTACAACTCGTTCATTTTCGGGTTGCTTGCACCACTTATACCGACAACTTCATTTGTATAGAAAATATAAATCACCCCTCCAAACTCTATATTTTTATCTTTGCCCACTAATCAACTTCCAACACATTATCATTTTATTCAAAAAGGAATCAGATAAATATATTAAATCGAACACTGATATGTCATTAGGTAATTGGTGGGATTGGGAGGGTCCATAAAGTTTGAGAACAAGTGATTTGTATCATGTGCAAAAGGGTTTATAATCGGCAACTTCCAGTTGTTCCACACCATCCTTCCACAAAAACCATTTTATGATATGTAAATCAGTTTTCATAAGAGCATCTTCAACATGTATGTTATATTTTTTATATCTGAAGATATCTCAATTTTCCCTTCTATTTTTCTCTATTTTGGAGAATAGTTTAACATAACTGTTGTAGCAAACTTTTTCCAAATCTCCAAATTTTCTAAAATAACATAGTTGTTGGAGATGTTCTAACAGCCCACTAGATGACTTACTTAACAACCTGCTATTGTACCTCTCATATTGCAGTTGTCAGACTCGAATCTTCATATGTTTGTAAAGTATATCATTTTGAGACCAACTGTGCTACTCTAGTACATAGGATACAACTTGAGGGTGGTTTGATTGATTTTCTATCAGATCCTGTATGGATAAAGTTGTTTGTACTGATTATTCTGTCCATATAAATTGAGAAGATTTATGTTTGGGTTGGTTTTTTAATAAATGTAAAGACTACTACGGAGCGTGTTCTTTTAATTGAGATGAACACGTTTAAAAAAGTCTTTAACTTTCTACGTAAAGCTCTCCCTAGAAACTTAATGAATAAGCCCTTTTTATATCATTAAAAAATCACCATAAACTCATGTATAACGGAACGAATAAGCATGGTTTCTCATTAACCAACCTAGCATCTTCGCAAATATAATTCAAATGTTACAAGAGATATTTTGCTTGATAATACAACGAAAAACATGAATCTATCTCAATAATAACAATGCTATGCTTCAAATCCATGAATTTGATCAGAATTCGAGCACAAACCTGCTACAATTCGAAGAGAACGAACCTCTGTTTTCAGTTCAATCCAAGGTAATAGGGAACTCCGGTAGCATTCAACCAATCGCCTCCCTGAATAAAATTCCCGACCGTAAATTGGCCGGCCTCCGTCGAATTCACGATCACTTTATATCCCGGCCAACTAACTCTACCACTCGTATTCGATCCTGGACCTCTATTCATATACTCCCCATAATAAAGTGTATTCAAACCGAAATCACCTGACCACTCTAACCAACCGGCAGGATCAATTAGATCGCCTATATGTGATCGCATGATCACAGTTCTTGAATACTCTCTCCACGGCCGCCCTAGGTACGACTTGAACATCGTTTGGTTCGGAATCAACTCAGATCCGGCAGCTATTTTGCATTCCATAATCGAAATACCGGTGTTTTGGTTAGGATCGTCTCGACCTTGAGCTGTAAAAAGGTTTTTCTGGTTTGGATCTGGTTGACGAGCGTACAGATTAGATTTTTGGAAGACGACGGCGGCGTTGCCGAAGATGAAATCGACGGTGCCATAGATGTCGCATTCACGGAAGAATTGGCGGAAGGAGTGAACGTAGAGAGTATCTTGGAAGGCGACGAAGCTGCATTGGTAGAAGACGGAGAAATCAGAACCACTCCGTAACGCCACCGCCTGGTGTTTGCTGATTCCGGCGAAGTTCTCGAAGGTGATACCTTTGGCTATGAAATTGTTGCCAACCGCAACTGAAAAATTCCCAGATACTTGGTAAATGTCATAAAAAGTGAGAAATATTTAAGGGTTATTTACCTACAATTTATTTAGGGTTTAATCGTTAAACCATTAAGCAATAATTCCGTTAAATAAGAAACATATTTGTTCATTTATAAGTTGTTTTCTATTTTACTCGATCAAATCAATTTTATGATTTTGGTTCGTGTGGTTTTTAATTGGGTAAAAGACAAAAATTTACAAAAGAAACGAAAATACCTTCCATTTAACGACATAATCTAACTGCCGTTAAAATGAGGGACTAAATCCGGATATTTTTGCTAATGACAACGGTTATTATGTAATTTTAAAGCTATAAGAATGAAAAATGTTACTTTTTGACAAACCACGGGGACCAAATATGTAGTTTACTCAAAAATCAATCTAATACACCAAAATACCAAATACAAATATCACATAAAATAAATCTTTTCATCTTTTTTGCTTGGATGGTAGTGAAATTTATTCTAACTTTGTTTATCGACTATGATAACGTGTGTTTAAACAGTTGTTTGTTTAAAAACGATTACACGTATAATACATTTGTGTGTGTGTATGTATATATATATAGGATTGGGTTCACGTGAGACCAGTCTGTTTTCGTGAGACCACATTTTTATACGTAAACTTCACAGCAAAAACATCGTGAATGTTAGAAAAAAAGTCACATTCACAACATTTTGCTATGAAGTTTCAAGTGTAAAAATGTGGTCTTACAGATCTCACAAAAACAAACTGGTCTCACATGATCTCAAGTCTCTCACTCTATATGGATATGGAAGTGTACTTGTGTAAAACATTGCATTACATATAAAAAGTTTATTCTCATGGTTACCATAAAATAAAGAAAAGTGGGTACCAAACTCGTGAGTTCTTAAAGAAGCATGGTCCACAACCAATTAAATCAATGCCACCGTCGCCAACTACCATATTGTTTGACATTCCGTCCCAAATCTTGGATTGTTGATTTAAGATAGTCAATATTTCATACACGTCTATTTTATAACTTATATAATATATTTTTTATAAAATTGAAATGATTCTGGTGGATCTTTTCACAAGTCACAATAACATTTTGCAGATTGTCGTATCCATTTCTTAAATCCCGTGTCAATTTCGTAAAATAACACTGTATTTAATTCAGAAAAACGACATTTAAAATAAGCTAAAAAACAAAAACAAAAATAGTGTCCAATTTATTCAATTTTCTTTAGGTTAATAATCAAATGAACCACCTTCCCATTTAACTAACGCATTCCTACCCATCTTTCCTGTCTTTATTACCACCAATTAATTAATTATCATCTTAATTAATTTATCGTTTCAAAATTGGACCTATTATACCATTTACATCAAATCTCTATCCTTACCCACTAAATTAATGTCAAATTTAATACGTGTAGAAGAACTTACCGACGGTGGCCGACCGGAAAGTAGTCCAGCCGTCGACGACGCTCCGGTTACCTTTAATCAGCGTTTTTCCGATCCCATCTCCCACCAACATCACCATTGTCTTCCTGCTATCGATCTCCAAATACTCATAATAAGCTCCTGCTTTTATATATATCACGAATCTCGTCGTACTACCGTTCGGAGCTACATTCAAAGCTTCTCCGATCGTCGTGAAATTCCCGCTGCCGTCCTTCGCCACCACCAAATCGTATTCCGTCTCCTTTACGGCCGCCTGCAGCAGTGCCCTCTCCTTCTTCTTCACCCACTTAGGATACCCATCCCACATCTTGCTGTACTCCGGGAACGTCTCCGCCGTTTCCGACGTCGTTTCTTTCATTTTCTTCAGTAAAGCAAGCGAGTTGCTGATCTGACGAGAAATGTTACGTAACGGCTTACGGAAGTACCGTCGTACCTTGTTTCTCGAATTACTAAGCGCAAACCCATCGAGACACGTGGCCTGGTTGGTCATGGAGGCGCTAAGCAGAGTTCGGAGGTTGTTGTGTTTGTTATACGGCGGTCGTTTGAGGTCGGARATGGCGGAGTTGAGKTGARTGAYGGTTTSGAGAAACARCGAATGACAGTCGTCGAGTGCTCGGATTTCGAGAGCGTTGAGGTTGTGAAGTTTCCGGCGGATGGCGGTGACATTGAAGTCGGTGGATTTAACGTCGTTGACGGTGTGGTTAATGGTGGCGGATATGATTTCCGGTAGGGATTTTGATCGGAGGTCCGGTAGGATGGTGGTGAGGGTTTCTAGGCAGAGTTGGTAGTAGAGTGAGCCGTCGCAATGTGTGTGTGCTGTTTGTGTTTGGATGCGTTTGTGAAGGTGGATGTGAAGAGGGGTAGTTTGTGTAAATAATGAAACTCCATGGTGGTTATTTGTAAGTTTCGAAATAGAAGAAATGGCAAATGCAAGTAGGAAAAGGGCACAGAAGGCAAAGAGAAATCGTTTATTGGTTTGCATGATTGGAAGCGCTACGTTTTTGGCACACACTCAAGAACATATATATATATATATAGATATAGATATAGATAGTGTATGTATATATGTGTGTGTATATATCATATATGTGTGTGTGTGTACCAAATGCAAGTGAGACAAGATCAAAATCAAAGTATGCTACAAAAATGTGTAATATATGTACTTGCTCCATTAAATATAGTGATCCCGTGAGCTTTAGTTACCACTTACCCTTTGTCTCCTTCCTCACACAACTTGATGCTCTTTATGTTCATTACTCATTCGAGAACAACATCGGTTGGGACCCGTAGATTGGACCGAGTATCTTGAGCGTGCTTGTGGAATGGTCTGGTCCACGGTCGGTGATTATCAACAACTTTTTATCAAACATTACTAGTTTAACAGTTAATTTATCAGTGAACAAAAATGATGAATCTAGTAGGTTTTATCATTATGTAAAAAACTTCTAACATAGGACAATTTTTTGTTGGGAGCAAATGCCCCGATCTCATTCTCTTAGAACATCTCCAACATTTATAAAATAGCATAGCTGTAACTGACTACTAATTTTAGATGCCCTTACATCCGTCTATAGCTAACAACTGGTATTTCAACAAACTGCTTGTTTATCAGCTAACAACTAGTTTATCTGACAATAAAAATCTTGTAAACCAATTTGTCAATTATAACTTAATTAGCTAAAGGATTATAGTGACAGTTCATTAACGGACATGTACATAGGGTGATTTTTGGTGAGGATGGAAGTTTTGGTGAGAAATGATCTCCACTATTGGATCAATCCTAATTGAAGATTAACACTATTGTGATGCAGCAAATCAGTTCTCGTGAGAAACACGATTCATGAGGTGGGGATGAGATTAAAAATGATCAAAGGTCTAAATCATTTCTTACACTTTCTTAACTTTAACTCTTATCCAGACACGATCCCTCGTCAAGGTACATAATATTATATCTTTCAATAAATATCAATCATTATATTTGATTTGTCGTACATTTTTAATATATTCGATATATATATATATATATATATATATATATATATATATATATATATATATATATATATATATAGGGTTGGGTTCACGTCAAACCAACCTGTTTTCGTGAGACCACTTTTTTTCACTTAAAACTTCACAGCAAAATGTTGTGAGGGTAAAAAAAAGCCGAACATTCGTAGCCAAAACACTGTGAAGGTTACCTTCACAACGTTTTACTGTGAAGTTTCAAATGTAAAAAATGGTCTCATGGATCTCACGAAACAAGCTGGTCTCACGTGATACCAAGTCTCTCTCTCTCACACACACACACTCTCTCTCTCTCTTTATATATATATATATATATATATATATATATATATATATATATAGACTTAGGATCATGTGAGACCAATGGTTTTTCGTGAGACCCATAAGACCAATTCACAACTTTTGGATTAGATCTATAATCTGAAAATCTAAACATTCGTAAATGCCACGAGACTTCTCAATAATCACAAAATTGCCATCGTGTAATTTGGATCATTAGATCAATCATTTATAAAATTGATCAATGAACATAAACTGGTCTTACGGGTCTCACGAAAAACCTTTGGTCTCACATGAACCCAACCTTATATATATATATATATAGAGAGAGAGAGAGAGAGAGAGAGAGAGAGATGAGCGATCAAATGCAACCATCCAATTTATACAAAGCGTGCAAACCACCTCATCCGTCATTTCATTGTTTAATCTTATGAATTTTTTTATGAAATTGTTTAATCTTATGAAATTGTTTCATATAAATATTTTTTTTAATAAAGTTGTTTCATATATGATTATGAAATTGTATCTTATATATATATATATATATATATATATATATATATATATATATATATATATATATATATATACCCCAAAGTGGTCCATCCGACCATGGGGATGGAAAGGAAGTTAGGCGTGGCAATTCATATGTGAATGAATGAGTAACCGAAAAGGAACGTCTTTGCCATCCTTTAAAGATTTTGGCACAACCAATAATCCATTATATACTAATCATTTTGGAATATATCATCATTTAATCACCTTGCTCCATTGTTTCATATACATATACATATACATATATATATATATATATATATATATGAGTAAACTACAAACTTGCTATTTGTAATTTGTTTCTACATTTTTTAAAATTATAAGATCGTAATTATGGTTTATAAAAAACGTTTGAATTTCATCTCTCATTCTTAAATAACCGATAAAAACTTCATTAATGAGGGGGATTTCCTTATTTTATCCATTTTTTTTTGTTTTTTTACCCAATCAAAAACCATGAGGACCAAATTACAAAATCGATTTTGATTGGATAAAAAGTAAAAAAAATCGATAAAATAACGAAAATGTCCCTTCTTTAATAAATTTTTAATGATTGTTAGATGGAGCGATCAAATCCTGAAGGTATCACAAACCACGATGGCTATCTTGGAATTTCGAAACTGCAGGAACAAAAGATGTTATTTTCGGCAAACAAAAATGCCCCTTGTTTTTTGTTTGATGTTCTTTGAATTTGCTGAAATCCCGGAGCACCTTCAAAGTTTAGCGGGTGCACATTTCATATCCCATAGGAAATTCTACTTACAAAAATAAGTTGAGCAGATGCATGGAACCCCGCTCTTGATAGATGCGTCCCTCCATACCGTGACTGTCAGACTCAAATGTTTATCTGTTTGTAAAGTATATCAAAACAAAACCAATTATGCTGCATCGCGGTATCTTTTAAACAGAACTAGCATCCTCCCAAAGATAATTCAAATATTAGAGGGTTATATGCTTGATGATGCAAGGAAAACATGAATCGATTCATCATAATAAGGATGTTATGCTTCAAATCCATGATTTTGATTAGAATTCGTGACAAATCTACAATAATTCGAAGGGAAACGAGCGATCACTGTTTTCATGGGCTATTTGATTCAGACAGAGAAATAAAACTATGAATGAAAATGAAAATGACATGAAATGAAAATGGGAGTGGTTTAACCTGAAATGAAAATTTGGCTTTATACTGAGTAATCTACAATTTTCATCCATATGATTTGAGAAAGATTGTGATTTTTGTCCCCGTTGCTTGGAAATTGCGACTTGCATTTATATGGTTTGTAATTTATTGTTGTTTCCCCCCTAAGACTGAATATGTTAAAAATCCTCCATTAACTTATCGATATTTTGTTTTTTTTTTAATTTTTTAGTTTATTAAATAAATATTTTTAATTTCTTTTTTAGTATTTTAGTCTTTTTGATTTAATAAAACTATATATTGTTTGATAGACAAGTAATATATAAAAAGATTTTATTATCTTTCTATCATTTATGATAAAATAATTACATATTTTTAATGCAATTAAATTTTTTAATATTTTTGGTCATTCTAGTTTTAGTTTCTTATAGTCTATAATGAAGAAAAACGAATTAAAATATTATCATGTAAGGAATACTTAACGACTTGCAATTGAATGACTTAGGGGCTGTTTACTAACTGCTGACCGGACTGACTCGGTCAGCATATCTGACTCGGTCAACAGTCAGTGTGTTTACCAAATCACGAATCTGACCGAGATCTGACCGAACTGCTGACCGAAATCTTACCCCGTCAGCATCTATTTCATACTTACCCGAGTCAGATTTCACGTTTCCATACTTGCCCCCTTTTCACAATTAGGTTTTTGCATTCCCCATCGCTCTCTATCGTTCCCTCATCGCTCCTCCTCTTCCCTCGCTGGTCCCGGCTCTGCTCTTCACGGTCGATCCTTCTCCCTCGTCACTCTCGTCCATTCTCCTTTCTCCCTTGGCGCTCAAGTCGTTCCTCCCTTTGTTGCTCGAAGAGGTACAAATCTTTTTAACTGATCGATTTATACATTTGTTGAGTTTTTCTGTTCTCTGGCTTTATAATATGTACGATGGTGATGCATTACTCAAAGAATCGACTGATTTCATTACTTGATCATGTTCTGGGGATTTGGCTTGATTTCATTACTTGATTTCATTATATTTACAATTTTAGCAGTAAAGATTTGGCTTCTGTTTCCTTTTGACAAATTTATTGTTCCTAGTCTTGTTAGAGAACACATGTACCTGTTCTGGGGAGTAGGAGATGAATAGGATAAGAGAAGATTTGAGATGAATCAGAGAAACCCAAAATAGGATCAAGATCAGAAACCCAAATGTCAACTGGGTTACGTTTCCATTGCTCATTATATTAGCAGTACAAGGAGAAATTTAGGTGAAGTTTCTTGCTCGTATATGAATACCCATTTTTTATATGAATACCCATTTTATCTTGAAAAGAAAGAATGGTTTCATATGTGGGTTTAGTATATTTGTGGAAGCAATTGAGTTTGTTGCTAACTTTGGTTAGTTTTTGTTTGTTTATTAAGATTTGCTGAGAAATTTATGGTTATGAAATGAAAATAACTGTGTTTTTTTAAGCTTTCTGTAAGGGTGATCATGAATCATTGAAGTCAACTAAAGCAAACAATCATTTTTCTGATATTTTAACAGAGTTTCATGTGATTTCTTTTGTGTTTTTGGTATGGATTGTTGCAATGGAGGAGAATTGATTTTATTAGGGTTCTAAAGTTGTTTAAAATTTTGGACACCGGAGGTGAGGAATTCGAAATTTCTTCCCTGTTTTCCATCTGTGCAGGTGGGTAAGGATGGGGAGGGGAGGGGGTACTTATGAAGTTGGTGATCTCGAAGTAAAAGTTATGTATAAGTAGATCTATGGCACTAGTATTTCTAGTTGGTTATGAACATATCATCATATAAATTCTCTTTTGAAACCTAAATTTCAGCATACAAAATAGGATCAAGATCAGAAACTCAAAATAGGATCAAGATCAGAAACCCAAATGTCAGCATATGAACATATCATCWTATAAATTCTCTTTTGAAAGGAATCAAATAACCACACACAAGGAGGAGAAATTTAGGTTGCTAGCCCACTAACTAGCCCAGGAATCATGCAGTGACTATCTAAACACCAAAAACACATCTTTCATCATTATCCATAAACATACCAAATTGCTAACCAATCACGTATGCATAGAATCATCCTCAAAGAAGAAGGAGAAATTTGCAGTTCCAAAATTGACAAGAACTTATAAAATCTTCTTGAAAATTTTGATTATTAAATCAAACTTTAAACCATATTGGGACGGAAACTGGTTGTTTATTCTAGTGATCTCAATTGTTTATGGTGTTTCTTTATCATTTCTTGACGTGGGTACTTTAAAATTTTAGTTATTATTGTCAATATTTTCTGGTTTTTTGTATGTGTTTCTTTTGTACGCGTTGTTATTGAAAAGTTGATGGATAATGAAGACCTTAAAATGTTTGGGTCTTTTTGACATAGGTATGGAATCGTATGATGAATCAATGGAACCCAAAAAATCCATAATTTTATAAGAAGATGTAATATCCAAGATCAACTGTTTATGCAATATGATGAGAACGCCATGTTTAYTGCGGAAGAGCAACATGGAGGAGGCATTGAACAAGAAGTCGTTGAAGTACAATGGGGGGCTTCTCAAGACAATGGATATATGGCTAATCTGCGGGATCAGATTGCGACTCAACTGTTTTCAAATGCTTCAAATTAATTTGTATTGTCTAGGATGAAAAACAAACAATTTCTTTTGTTATTAACGTTTCATATCCCGTTTGTATTTAAGTATGAACGATTATTAATATATTTTTTCTATTTAATTTGAAGTATGAAAATTATATTTTGTTGTCTTATTTAACAGTTAACATATGAAAAGAAGTAAAATGGTATTATTTTTATTGGTAAACATTTATTTAAAATATGCATTTTGTTTTTTTTTCTTCCATTAAACTATTAATAACAAAAATAATCATATATTATTCAATATATAATTACAAATAGGGTTATAATGGTCATTATATTTTTGGTAAGCACTTACCAAAAACATTTGGTAAACAATCTTACCCGGGACAACACTTACCGGGATAGCACTTACCCGAGTCAGCACTCTTATCCGGACAGCACTTACCCGATAAGATTTGGTAAACAGCCCTTTAGTGACAAAAATCGAACTAATAATAAACTAAAACTATTATGACAAAAATATGAAAAAAAACGAAAAATATGTAATTATTTTATCATAAACAATAACAAAACATAAAATATTTAATGTATTATTTTTTTAATCAAAAAATGTATAATTTTATTAAGATCAAAAAGACTAAAATACCAAAAAAATTATTTAATAAACCAAAAGGAGGAAAACTAAAAGAAAATTAAAATATCTCTAAGTTAACCGGAGGATTTTTAATAGATTTAAGGGTTGTTCGGTAACAGATAATAAGTTGTATAACATGTATAACTACTAAGATATACATAAGTGTTCGGAAATGGCTCAATGAGCCAACAAAGGGGTTATTTGCTCAGCCCACAAAGTAGAGTCATATACATTCAGCCGACCCTTTTCCCTCATTGCCCTTAGGAAAACACACGCTTCTCTTTCGCCTGAACTCATTCGCCCATCCTCCTTCAACAATCGAGTCTCTCAATCTCTGGAATGAAGGTTGATCCATCAAAAATCAGTTTTCTCTCTCTGGAATGAAGCTCGATTTGCTACTCATTCTCTGCATCTCCCGCTTTCCCTAATGGAACTGATTTTTTTTTGTTCCTGAAATTGATCCCTTGATTTCTTGAAATCGAGCCTTTGGTTTTTTGTTCCTGAAATCTAGGTTTCGTTGCCAGGTCTTTGGGTGTTAGATGATGAAATCGAGCCCTCTGTTTTTTGCTCCTGACATCTATCCCTTCGTTTTTTTGCTAGGTTTTTGGGTGTTCCATGAAATCGAGCTCTCCATAATTTGTAGAAACTATAAAACAGAAGATTGAAAACAAAGAGGAGAAAAGCCGATGGAGATGAAGCAAATGAAACAAATGACGACTGAATTCTTTCAGGTTAAACCATATTTACCTTTTAATCCCATTGAATCATCCGTGTAACAAAAATTGTTTTCAGATTGTGGGTTTTGATGATACATACTTTTTAGATCTAGAATGCATCCCGAAATTGATAAATCTTTATCTTTTAAATTCATTCATCCAACAATTTTATGAAATAGTCATTTAATCCGACAAAAATATAGAATGAGAGTAAAATGATCATTTTTGACCTTCAAACTGTTTATTCAACACAATAACAAAAAAAAAAAAAAACAATTTATTTTATATTATTCAGACGACTTTATTCATATATGACTTAATGTAACACGAACAGAACAGTCCCTTATTTTTAGACACAAAAACAACAATAAATTACAAAACACAAAAACCAAAACAATAATCCCAATCTTTGACACAGAGTTCACTCTATTATATATCAACCAGTTTCTCATACAATCCAAGGTAATAGGGAACTCCGGTACCATCCAACCACTCGCCGCCCTGAATAAAATTCTCAACCGTAAATTGGTCGGCCTCCGACGAATTCACGATCACCTTATATCCCGGCCAAGTCACTCTACCACTTGTATTCGAACCAGGACCTCTATTCATATACTCCGCATAATAAAGTGTATCCAGAGCGAAATCACCTGACCACTCCAACCAACCAGCTGGATCAATCAGATCACCGATGTAGGTCCTCATGATCACAGTTCTCGAATACTTCTTCCATGGCCTCCCTAGGTACGATTTGAACATCGTTTGATACGGAATCAACTCAGATCCAGCAGCTATTTTGCATTCCAGAATCGAAATACCGGTGTTTTGATTTGGATCGTCTCGACCTTGAGCTGTAAAAAGGTTTTTCTGGTTTGGATCTGGTAGCCGTGCGTATAGATTGGATTTCTGGAAGACGACGGCGGCGTTGCCAAAGATGAAATCGACGGTGCCGTAGATGTCGCATTCACGGTAGAATTGGCGGAAGGAGTGAACGTAGAGAGTGTCTTGGTACCCAACGAAGCTGCATTTGTAGAAGACGGATAAATCTGAATTGCTCCTTAACGCCACCGCCTGATGTTTGCTGGCTCCGGCGTAGTTCTCGAAGGTGATACCTTTGGCTATGAAACTGCTGCCAACGGCAACTGAAAAAAAGCCCACATACATAATAAAATGAAGTTAAAAATCACCTCATTAACCCTTCTTTCCGATCAAAATTCACTTCTTTTTATTATTTTTAGAATCAAATTCTGATTTAAATCTTTTATTTATTTGAGCTTGGTTTTTGTTTATGTATTATTTCATATGATTTTTTTATTCAAAACTAAAATATTTGTTTCAGAATATATTTTGCTACATTTTTTACGTGTTTGTGAAATAAAAGATACATATAAAAACGTTTCACATTATTAATCGAATACATATGAAACAAATATATTGTGAAACAAATGTATGTTGACCAATACATTAAATACTATACTTAGACAAAAAAATATGAAACAAAAAAAAAACTTAAGATAAAAGTTCCCATGAATCTTACAAATTTCGAAGTTGTCAAATAATTAAACTCATATATATATGAGTTTTGTATTGATAACCCATGAAATTATGATAACCTTAAAAACTTGTACATAATGTGTTATTTTATATGATTTTTTTTCCATCTAAAACTACGATTTAAACTATGGATTAACATATATCTGTTTTACAATGTGTTTGTTTCACATATACTTAGTTCACAATGTGAATCTTTTGGCCATGTTTGTGGAAAAAAATACATATAAAAATGTTTCACATTGTGAACAAAATACATATGAAACAAACATGTTGTAAAACAAATATATATATATATATATATATATATATATATTAATCAATCCATTAAATATCGTACTTACATTATGTTCTTGAAATCCTTTTTACGAAGGAAGGAAATGAAATGGAGGGAAAAGGAGGAAAATATAAAAAAAACTTGTGTTCTCGACACATTTTTAAGAGAGAATGGAAATGAAAAGGAAGGAAAGAAATCGTAAGTTTTCTCCCAAAACTTTCCTTCCAAAAGTGGGATGAAAGAATAGGAAAGGTAAGGAAAGGAAAGAAAAAAATTAAAAGCATTTAAAAGATTATTAAAATTACAAAACTATGCAACTTTTTATAATAAAAGACATATTTTTAAAGGGTATATATGTAAAAATAACACATTTCTTTTCCTTTCTTTCCTGTTCCAAAACATGAAAAATTATTTTATTTCTTTTTTTTTTCTTTCAAAAACACAAATAAAAAATTATTTTTCTTTCCTTTTTTTCCTCCCTTTGTTTTCCCTCCCTCGCTTTTCCATCATTTTCTAATTCTAGAACACAACGTTAGAAATAAAAAATAATCACGTGAAACAAAATCTTCATGTAGAAATTCTCAGGACTTCATTAATTCTAGATTGAGCATTTTTTTCACTAAATGAAATTGACATGTGACATTTTATTATTGGTTGGTTTAATTTTTTTAAAAATAAGACTTATCTAATTAAAAAATGGCTTTAACAAAAATATAACAAAATTTATAATTTTCAATTCCCTAGAAATAAAACATAATATTGATATATTTTCATACCAACTTTTGAAACGTGTCTTATTTAATTTCAATTGTATAATAAGTTTTTTATAGTTAATCTTAATTACTAATTGAACTTGTTAATAACTATAATAACATTTTTTTTAATTATTATAATTTTTATAATTATAGTTTTTTTATTATATAAAATATGGACCGATTTATAATTAAATATAAAAAGTTTATAAATAACGTGACAAAATCATTAACCTTTAGAAAAGTCGTAAATATAAATGCTATAAAATAACCTTAATTTCCTCCATTATTGAAAAAATGGGAGGACCCAAGGGAGCCACTTATGGCATGGCCCTGTTTTTTATTTTCTTAAATAATTTTTAATAAAAAAAGGTGTATTTCGCAGGTTGTGATTCTACCACTTACACAATTAATGGTATTTAGGACCTTTTAATGAGAAAGTGGTTAAAAAATGAATTTTGGTTAATAAAAAGACTATTTTAGTTAATTGTTGACCTAATTCTATATAACGCACACAACACGCCTTATATGTCCATATACATATATAACACACACATATAGACTTGGGATCATGTGAGACCAATGGTTTTTCGTGAGACCCGTAAGACCAATTCTCAACCATTGGATTAGATCTACAATCGTTAGATTTGAACATTCATAAACGCCACGAGACTTCTCAATAATTACAAAATTGCCACCGTGAATTTTAGACCATTAGATCATTAGTTTATCAAGTTGATCAATGAACATAAATTGGTCTTACCGGTCTCACGAAAAACCATTGGTCTCACGTGAACCCAACCCCACATATATATATATATATATATATATATATATTTATATATATATATATATATATTTATATATAGGGGAGCGTTTAAATAAAAACTACTCAGTTTGTAAAAATCGTGAAAACTTCATTCAACCAATCATAATTTTTCATTTTGTTCATTTTTTTGTAATTATGAAAGGTTGATTAACCATTTTTATTGTGAAAGGTGTTAATCATAGATATTATCATATTCATTATTTTAATTTTAGAAGAATAATTCATGAAACAGTTTCATTAAAATTTCATTAAATGTTATATGAAACAAATTCATCAAAAAAAGTATAATATAAAACAACTTCACAAGATTAAACAATTTTATGAAAAAAAATTCATAAGATTAAACAATGAAATCGACGTATGAGAGTGGTTTGTACGGTTTTTACAAATGAGAATGGTTTTCATTTGATCGCTTCTCTCTCTCTCTCTCTATATATATATATATACATATATATATATATATATATATTTATTTCCTTTTTAAATGTAATCCATCACATTTGTACAACCAATACAACTCAATAGATTAAGATATTTATGGAAATGATGAGAATTTATTTATTATGATTTAAATATTTATGGAAGATGAATATGATTCATTAATTATGATCAATAATTTACATTAAAAAACAATCAAAACTTCTATTAAATCACATATTCATCAAATTAAATGAACGGTTGAGATTGAGTTATATTGGTTGTATAAATGTAAAAGGTTGAATAATAACTCACCTCTCTCTCTCTCTCTCTCTATATATATATATATATATATATGTATATATATAAGATATTCTTTTGATCTTTATATAGTGAGATATTGGAAAACCTACAATTTGATATGATTTTTTTTCTATGATTAGAAGGTAATTTAGTGATTGACATATATTTATTTTAAATTGTGCATGTTTTACATGTACTCAGTTCATAATGTGAACTTTTTTTGGCACATCGTGAAATAAAAAATACACACAGAAAAGTACCAAATGTGAACCGAATACATATAAAACAAATATATTATGAAATAAATATATATTAATTAATACATTAAATACTTTACTTAAATAGAAAAAGGCCATGTCAAAGAAAAAATCTTAAGAGAATATTTTTCATGGATCTCATAAATTTTTTAGTTTTCAAATGAACAAACTTGCAACTCTACATATGCATTGGCACATTGCACATATGCATATACATCAAACTTGACCAAGATATCGTGTGTTTTTTAAAAGATGTTGAAGTCTGAAATTTTATTTTATTTTTGATATATAAGAGTTGGCGTTGACATCTAAAATCTGAATCAATAAGACTGACTGTTTTTGCAAATTGATCAACGTCCTAATTTGTTTAAATTGTTTATTTTACCTAATAAAAATATATATAGGCAAATAAGATATTGGTTTACCTCTTATTAGATAAAAGAACAATAAAACATAAATGTCTTTAAAAAAATGAAAAATATAAATATTTAGAATGATTTTAATTCTTAATAAATCAGACATAAAAAGCTGATAATTCTATTAATAAAAAAGTACAAAGCGTGACAAAAAGGTGGAGTTCCATGATTATCATAAAAGAAAGGAAAAGTATACGCATATATACCAAAAGTGGTGTCTTTATTACCACAATTAATCATCTTAATTATTTTAGGCTTTCAAAATTGGACCCATTTACCTTTTTTTTATTAATCTGAATATCCAGCTCGTTATGCAAGCTGACTAATTTCAGAACGATCATCTGTTAGCCCGGAGTTACCACATTTGAACCTCTATGACCACAATTTGAACCTCTATGACCACAAAAGGATTTTTATTCCTCATTGGATTTGAACCTGGGACCTCCTAGTACTTTTGACCTTTAGAGTCAAGCTCAAACCAACCAAACACCATCCTTGTAGTTAATTTTACCTTTTACATTAGAGATGAAACATCGTCTAAAAATTTGGATCCATTTTATGATTTGTGTTTATCATTGAGAATTAATTCAATATATCTGAGTCTATCGTATTAGTCTTGATCTTTAATTAAGATTAATCCAAGTTAAAGATATCATGTTTACCTTTCTCATCTTAACTTTTATTTTCATCGGAACCTAATCTTACCTCAAATCTCTATTTGGGTTGGATTCCAATGATAATGGAAGTTATGATAAGAAAAGATTTATATCCTTGGATCAATCGTAATTAAAGATAATATCATATAAATTCTCATGCACAATTCAAGAAATTAAAATAATAAAAATAATCTGAAAATTAATACGAGTAAGAAACTTACTGACGGTGGCAGACCGGAAAGTAGTCCAGCCGTCGATGACGTTACGGTTACCTTTGATCAGTGTTTTTCCGATCCCATCACCCACCAACGTCAACATTGTCTTCTTGCTATCGATCTCCAAATACTCATAATATGCTCCTGCTTTTATATATATCACGAACCTCGTCGTGCTTTTGTTCGGAGCTACACTCAATGCTTCTCCGATCGTCGTGAAATTTCCGCTGCCGTCCTTTGCCACCACTAAATCGTATTCTGTATCTTCTACGGCCGCCTGCAACAATGTCTTCTCCTTCTTCCTTACCCACGAAGGAAATCCGTTCCACATCTCGCCGTACTCCGGGAACGTCTCCGTCGTCCCTTCCGACGTCGTCGTTCCGTCCATCTTCTTCAGTAAAGCAAGCGAGTTGCTGATCTGACGAGAAATGTTACGTAACGGCTTACGGAAGTACCGTCGTACCTTGTTTCTCGAATTACTAAGCGCAAACCCATCGAGACACGTGGCCTGGTTGGTCATGGCGGCGCTAAGCAGCGTTTGGAGGTCGTTGTGTTTATTATACGGCGGTCGTTTGAGGTCGGAAATGGCGGAGTTGAGGTGAGTGACGGTTTCGAGAAACAGCGAATGACAGTCGTCGAGTGCTCGGATTTCGAGAGCGCTGAGGCTGTGAAGGTTCCGGCGGATGGCGGTGACATTGAAGTCGGCGGACTTAACGTCGTTGACGGTGTGGTTAATGGTGGCGGAAATGATTTCCGGTAGTGATTTTGATGGGAGGTCCGGTAGGATGGTGGTGAGGGTGTCTAAGCAGAGTTGGTAGTAGAGTGAGCCGTCGCAATGTGTGTGTGCTGTTTGTGTTTGTGTTTGGATGCGTTTGTGAAGGTGAAGGTGAATGTGTAGAGGGGTAGTTTGTGTAAATAGATGGGGTTTTTTGGTAAATTTGGGAAAAGAAGAAACGGGAAATGCAAGTAGGAAAAGGGCAGAGAAAGCAAAGAGAAATCGTTTAGTGGTTTGCATGATTGGAGTGGCTACGTCTTTGGCACGCACTCATGAACTTTATATCATTGGACTCGGTAGGTAATAATATTTAAATAACACTAAATATTTATGCTAAAAATATCGTAAAAGTAATTCTTTACAGTGTTTTTATTTTCACCACGTTTACTGTATTTTTACTATAAAGGTTTGCTTTTTTCATACATTTATAATAAATTGTTCTGCAGTTTGAGTGTTATTTTGTGATCTTCTAGATCTTACTAAAACAGACTGATCTCACATGATTCTGATCATATATATATATATATATATATATATTATATATGAGGCCAAAGGTTTTTCGTGAGACCCATAAGACTAATTCTCAACCTTTGAATTAGATTTACAATCTGAAAATTCATAATCACAAAATTGTCACGAGACTTCTCAATAATTACAAAATTATCACCGTGCAACTTTAGACCATTAGATTATTAGCTTATAAAGTTGATCAATGAACATAAATTAGTCTTACGGGTCTCATGAAAAACCTTTGGTCTCACGTGAACCCAACTCTATATATGTATGTATATATGTGTGTATACCAAATACAAGTGAGAAAAGTTCAAAATCAAAGCATCCTACAAAAATGTGTAATATATGTACTTGATCCGTTATATACATGGAAAGATCATGCGAGAAATTATACATTTTACCAGGAGTCAAAAAAATTTAATATTATATATATGATTACAATTCTTTGGGTGTGTTTAATCATATATGGTTAATTGTTTGTGTGTTGTCAATGCAACATGCGTTTATTCATATATTAATAAGCTTGTGTATCTTGGTTGTAATTACATATAATATTGAAATTTCTTGTTTTCTTGTAAAATATTTAATTTCTCATTTGAACATGTATTTCTCTCTCTCTCTCTCTCTCTCTCTCTATATATATATATATATATATTATAGTGATCTCGTGAGCTCTAGTTACGAATTACTCTTTGTCTTCTTGCTCATCCACTTGATGCTCTTTATGTCCATCACTCATTCAATAATAACATCGGTTGGGACGTGTAGATTAGATCGAGTGGCTCGAGCGAGCTTTCGTAATGGTCTGATCCACTATCGGATAGACTAGAAAATTTATATTCTAGTATATGTTGGAACATCTATTTTCTCTTTGAAGTTGACTGTTTTGTTGATTTTTCATTAAGTCATGCATGTATAAAGTTGTTTGTTTGATTTAGTTTGTCTGTATAGATCGAGACGGTTTTGGTTTCTTATGTTGTCTTCATAGATGGAAGAGGGGTGTTTTTTTTTTAATTAGGAGAGATAAGTTTAGAAAAAGACATGGCTTACTGAATAAGTCACTTCATATATCATTAAGCCACTACGTACCAAACAGTCATGTACTACATATCGAATAAGCTATGAGTCTCACTAAACGCATTAACCTACTAATAAACAGCACCATTCCTTGAAAGTGATAGGGATAAGGTTTTTCATGTCTCAAACTTTGAGGTACCAATTATTGTGCATACAACTGTAGAAAAAAAAACACGATGTGATTGAGGTTATTTTCGTAACCAAAGACGCTTTTTCAAATACTGTTTTAATAAACTCAATAGTTTTCCTTTTCTTTCAATCATGAGTCATGACTAATTTTTTTTTTCTCGCACTTATGGCTCTAATATTTCAATTAAATTTTAAAAATGTTTTTAAAATCATTTTATACTGTTAATAAATTTATCAGCTATTTTTCAATAAACATCAACTAGTTTATTATCTAACTGATCAGCGAACACGATTGCAGATTTTAAATCTTTTATCTATAGATTCGTACTCTAAAATAAAATTATATATGAGATAAACATGGAAATTGAAGTAATCTTTCGTTTCTCAACAGTGAATTAAGGTCAAACTCATAAGCTTATTATCTCAGATCGGATCACGTCGATAGGATTCCCTTTTTTACATCCATATACCCTCTGTGTGGTGACATGAGAGCGGAAAAAAGGAAAGCGAGGAATAAATTTTTTCTCACTTTTGATATAATGGGCCCCAACTCAAGGAAGGGGTCACGTGACACTATGAGAGGCTATTAGGTCAGTCAGTGGATAAAATGTACCTCAACTATGAGAGCTCTCAATTACATGAATAGTTTAATAGGTTGGATTAGAGCATTACTTTTTTCGGTTTGTTGGGGGCATGATGGAATTTTAGGCAACTTTTTTAATATATGGCCATTTTTTCAAGGGTGCAAATGCCCCCTATGGCCTTACATTCGCCCATGACCTAATAACCAATATATTCTTTATAACCAAACGTAACGTAGTTTTAATAAAAAAAATTAATTAATTTTAATTTATTCATTTTTCTTTCTTTCGTAGAACAAAACGTTAATGGATTATAATGATAATCTATAAGGATGGTGTTTGATTGGTTTGAGCTTGACTCTAAAGATTAAAAGTGTTGGGAGGTCCAAGGTTCAAATCCAATGAGAAACAAAAATCCCTTGTGGCCATGGAGGTTCAAATGCGGTGACTTCAGGCTATCTGCAAAGCAGGTGGTCGATCTGGAATTAGTCGGCTTGCATAGCAGGTTAGATATATAGGTTAATCAAAATAAAGAAAATGGATTATAATGATAATTCAAAAAGAAGATATACATAATATGATATTTTATGGAACAATATCAATGGTTAGCTTCAATTAGTGACTTGTGAGATATTTTGATTTGTTGCACGTTTTAAATATTTCGACTCCTTAAAAGATATTTGTAAGTGTGGGCCTATCTCACCTTCTAGGAACGAATCAAATTAAAGGGTATTAGTCATGGCAATTCACATGTGAATATATCAGTAATTACCATTTTAAGATTTTGGCCCATCCATCATATTAATTAAAGGTGCTCAAAAATGGACCAACCGGATAACCTTATCCGGTTCGAAAAAAAATCCTAAAAAATCTCAATTTTAGGTCAATTGATGTAGAGTTGATATAAAATTAGGTCAAACCGTATCTATTAGGTTGGAATTGGGTTATGGTAATTTGAACCTAACGACCAAATTCGATGAACCCGATGTCTTTCTATACTATGAATTTAATATGATTGTTAAATTATTGATTAATATATATATAGGGGTCTAATCAAATGAGAACTAATTAGTTTATGTTAATTGTGAGAACCAATATTAACCACAAATCAATAGATAAATTAAAAAATTTATAATTTTGGCAATTTTGAATTAAAATATTAATTGATAAGCATATTTTATTACATGCTTAAAGTACCTATTTCTTATGCTTATTAGGTAGATTTTCATAGTTTATCCCAACCTTGAGTCATTTTTACTTCTTTATTTTTCATTTGTTATGTTTGGAGCTAATTGTGATGATGAATCTGTTTTTACAACAAGTTGGAGTAGATAACATTTTTTGACTCAGTACACTGCACTGTGATGCTGCAGCATTCCAACAGCATCGCCCGGCTGCATTTTGGCTTTTTGTAAGAGGTGCTTATTGATCAAGCCGTGTCTTGGATGGAGGTCTGAGCTGAAGAAGCTCTCATTTTGGACTATTTGCAGCTGGTGAAAGGATGTGGAGAAGACCCTTAGATGACTAGTTTTGATGGAGTTGAAATCTCCTTTTTGTTGTCTTCTCATATTGTACCTTGTACTTTGTACTTCCTTTAATATTTTGTCTTTTCCTCTTGTGTTGGGTATAAAAGAATGCATTTGGCCACTATTTTCCATATCTCAACTTGGACGAATCCTTTGTTTAAGTTGTGCTACCAAAACATTCTCATCTTATTAATATTATAAGCTTTTAAGTATTTAATTATTATTCTTTATATCTTGTCTTTTATTTATGTCATTTATATTACGTCTTTACTTTCCTTCATTTACTTTCAGTTATCTACATTAACGTCTTTACTTTCCGTCATTTACTTTCAGTTATTTACGTTCATGTCTTTACTTTATGTCATTTACTGTCTGTAATGAGTAGCTAATTTCATTAGTACGGGTGTAGGGTAAAGGGTGAAATGTTAAACCGAATGAAAGTGGACATTGTTTCGCAATAACAATGTTCCACTATTTCATTCAAGTTTT